CTTGAACAAAAGGTAAAAGGAGCTGGAAAACTACCACTACATGACCTCACAAGGTGGGAAAGAGCATTTTCAAGTGTGTGAATGAAACAAAACACAACTCCAGGTCTGTTTTTGAGGACGTAAAAACATTCTAACATGACTTAAAGCTCACAAGAGTCATTTTTGCGTAATATTGGACCTTTAATCTGCCGTGGTTTTGACTCTGAGCCGCTCGAACTGGAACGTCGAGGGGTTATTTTTCACACAAAATGACGTCAGCGCATAACCTCTATTACTCCCCCCCCCCTCGTTTAAAGGTGTCACTCCAAGGACACACTCGGCGCTCTCAAACGTTGCGGAGAGCGTTTGTGGCCGGGGCGCTGTTTGGTACGGCGCGCGTTGCCGAGCGAGGCGTTGCGTAACAGCCAGGTACTTGTTCTGTATTCCTGTTGCATCGCTCTGCCGCTGCTGCTGCCGCCGCTGCTGCTGCTGCTGCTGGCCGGCCACGTCCCCACCGCTCGCGCCCACAACCCACACACAGAATATGTTTTTCCCTCTCCCGGCTCCCGTGCGCGCGCTTTGTGTGTATATCGGTCCTGCAGTCCTCTGTTGCCATGGCGACGCTGGGCACACGGCGCTGGGCTGAGTCGTGCTGCGGGAAGCTTGTTTTCTCCTTTCTCTCTTGGAAAAGCGGAGGAACCACATCACCCCCCCCCCACCACCACCACCACCACCCCTCCCCGAGTCACGTGACGGAGACGGGAGACAGACGGACAGATGGAGCGGAGGGGCGACGCCGGCTAACGCGCGCTAACACATGCTAACAGGAGTCCCGGTGTCGTCGTCGGAGCGCGGAGACCGGCGAGCTGCTGCGCCGTTGCCATGTGGCGCCGCGCTGCCTCCCCCCCCCGGACACGCACGGGCTGCTAATGAGGCCGCGCTCACCCCCCCACCCCAAAGTTTAAAACAACCCCACTCCTGCAGATTATAAAGACGGTCCGGGCCGGATTCTAGACCAGACCTGGGCTTTTTACAGCTCTTTGGTTCACTCTGACCGTCCAGTTTAAGCTCATTTTGGAGTTAAAAATTAAACGTATTTTATAAAGATGGATCAATATCAGGATTGTTTTAGTCAATGTTAATCTGTGTATCATTCGTTCGTTCGTTTTTCAATATAAAAACAAAAGTTAGAAAACAAAAAAAGCAACTATTTTCTTCATTATTTGTCTCCAAAACCAAAATGAAAAAACAGTAATGATTTGTTTTTTCAGTTTTTGATTTTGGGTTTAAATGAAGAATGGAATAAAAAACAGATAATGGACGTTTCCGGTTTACGAGACTTAAACGGCAATGTCGGACTGAATCAGGACTAAACCAGTACTAAACCAGGACTAAACCAGGACTAAACCAGGACTAAACCAGGACTAAACCAGGACTAAACCAGGACTGAATCAGGACTAAACCGTTTTCAGTCCTGGTCTCAGTCCTGGCCTGGTCCCGGTTTCAATCACGGTCTGGTCCCAGTCTCAGTTCCAGTCTGGTTCTGGACTCAGTCCTGGTCCTGTTCTCGATCTCAATCCTGGTCTCAGTCCTGGTCTCAGTCCTGGTCTTGGTCTTGGTCTCAATCCTGGTCTCAATCCTGGTCTCAGTCCTGGTCTTGGTCTTGGTCTCAATCCTGGTCTCAATCCTGGTCTCAGTCCTGGTCTGGGCCCAGTCTGGTCCCGGTCTCAGTTCCAGTCTGGTTCAGGTCTCAGTCCTAGTCCTGTTCTCGGTCTCAATCCTGGTCTCAGTCCCGGTCTCAGTCCCGGTCTCAGTCCCGGTCTCAGTCCTGGTCTCAGTCCTGGTCCTGGTCTTGGTCTCAGTCCTGGTCCTGTTCTCGGTCTCAATCCTGGTCTCAGTCCCGGTCTCAGTCCAGTCTCAGTCCCGGTCTCAAGTCCTGGTCTCAGTCCCGGTCCTGGTCCCAGTCTCAGTCCTGGTCTCAGTCCTCGTCTGGTCCAGGACCTGGTTTAGTCCTGGTTTAGTCCTGTTTTAGTCCTGTTTCAGTTCGGCATCGCAGACACGGAAGTCACGTAAACAGGCCGATACCAGTTTTTTTCCATTATTCATCTAAAGACAAAATCGAAAATTGAAAAAACGAATCATTATCTGTTTTTTCATTTTTGTTTTGTAGACAAATAATGAAAAAAACTTAATCAAAGAAAGAACTACAGCTCCACATGATATTAATTGTAATATTATCAGATTTAAGTTAAGCATGTTGACTCGGCCCACCACGGTATTTTCTGTTTCTCATGTGGCCCCGTGGAAAAAATAATTGCCCACTCCAGCTCCAAACACTGTTTCAACACTCAGATGGAGAATAAAGTAGCTCCAGATTCCTCCAAAATTCCTTCCGACAATTCCTTAGAAAATGCACATGACAGGTTTTCATTATTTTCCAATTACGACTCGGTATGGCGGATTAATTACTGTGGTGAATATTTAGCATAGTTTTACATCAATTAAGCGGCAATTTGTGGACGAAAAGTTGAATAAAAGTACGAAAATACAGGAAGAAGCGGGCAGTTTTAACACAGAATCCCTCTACCTACGAAACGATTTCAACTAATCCAGGAACTATTTACGCACAAGAAAGGAATTTTCTGACACTTTGAACATTTATATCTCAAAATAAAAATGTTTTAATGTATTTTTATTAGTCTAATCATAACTACTGTGTAATTTAGAAAGTTATATTTGCTGCCCGTGTAAAATGATGAAGAAAATGGGAAAAAAAAACAAAAAAACTTTAATAAACTCTTGTTGGATAGAAATGGAGCTATTTTGACAAGAATGTATTGTTTTATTTATTTCATTTATTTATATTTATTTGTCTTGATGGTAAAGTTGTTGATGAATTGTACTTTAGAAGATAATTACACTTACGAATTTGATAAATTTACATTTTAAAGGATATTAATGACGACAACATTTCTGGAAGATGATGATGAATCTGAAATCTTGTATTTATGTAAATTAGAATAAACTAATTTGGATTGTTTTAAATGTTTAATGATGAATTGGATGGTGGTTATTTTAAGGAGTCACATTTAACGATAAAAATGTGTTGCTGGACTGTAAATAGTTTCCTTAATGTGTTTTGTACCTGCCCAAGGACTGCAGATGGAAAGGAGCTTGGAGCTAAATCTGGCACAGAGCATCTTTGAATCTCTGAGTTTAATGTTTCTGTTCACTGTCCTTGTTTTAAATAAATAAATAGATAAAAATCGACACTCAGATACTAATCGATATTAAAACTAGCATCAAAACTAGATAGTTTTTTGAGCAGGTATCGATACTGAAAAGCAGCACTGGGCAATACATTTTTCTATGAGGCCACATGAGAAAATGCTTAACTCAATTCTGCATAATATTAATTGTATTTCTTTATAAAAAGCAGTAAATAACATTGTTTTGATGAGCTGCTCAGACTGGTAAGAGTTTATGTTATGACTAAGCAATGAAAAAGTGACGTTGCCTTACAAAAAATGTCATTTAAAAACACCTCTAAATTATAAAGCAATGCAGCTTTAGTCCATGCATGAGATAAAATTATAAATTTATTAGGGATGTAACGATATCCAAATCTCTCGGTACGACATTATCACGATATACATCTCACGGTACGATATTTTATTATGATATTTTCGAAGGGGTTGATATAAATGTAGATTAGGACGCTTTTTTGCTTTTAGACAAGAGATTTTCATGTGTGAATTATTGTCATAATCCCAAGAATTCAAGTAAAAAACATATTACTTCCATGTTTTTTGTGCTGAAATGAATCATGGGATATGTAGTTCTCGATGTTTATGAGCTATTGCAGCTGTAAAACCATGCATTTAAGCAAAGGAACTTGTGATTCAATATACTGTGAGACGTTTGACGATTCGATATCACGATATTTCAGTTATTGTTACATCCCTAGAAAAAATGTTTATTTTGTAATTCCAGATTAGCTTGAACGAGCCAGTCAGAGACAACCAAAGAGCCGTATGTGGCCTGGGAGCCGTACAATGCCCAGGTCTGATCTAAAAAGGAATGATCTTGAGCTGTGTCAGAACAAGTATAAGAGCACATAGACTAGTTTATGCCCATGGACCACTGTGGAACCTGAGGAATAACACAGATAAGAAAGGGACAAAGAATGTTTTTTGAAAAAAAATTTTATTGTCATGTTGTCTGAGTCAGTAGTACCATTTCCTTTCCTTAGTATCAAAATTGAAACTTTAGTTTTGAGTCAACATTAAGACTAGTGACTCTTTGGCTACTTTTATACTGAAATAAATCACCATATTGGAAAGGATTTGTGTCCAGACACGTCGTTTCTGTGTCCACAAGTCTTCCCTATCCACACAGTTTTGAGCATGTTTGTTTACGATTTACAGAAACTAAACTTAAAACCACATGGCTCATTTGCGTAAACTAAGCACTCAAAAAACAGCTCGCTATTGTGTCGCTGATGCGGTTTAGTTTCTGTTGGACTAAAGGACACGACTCGATGGAATATAAGTGTTCTTTCTGTGACAGAGGGGTGTTCTGCTGATGGTGAGTCTGTTCTGTGTTTCTGTCGCGTTGGAGATGGTTCATGTTAAACTTTTCAGAGATTATACGTCTGCAGGTCGTACACACAGACACACGTTTATGTGAATGGACAGATATTCCAGCCTCTTAGCGTTTTGGCCATGAATTACTTCGCGGCGCATAGACCTTTGTCAGTGTATCAGCGTTTTCAGGAGTCCACACAGTGCCGGATCAGATCTGTACTCAAATGAAATTCGTGGGAGCTGACGGCACCAGATCGTTTCATCTCTGGAGCCGTTTTCCATCGGATTAGTGTGGGGGAACACCGCATCCACAACAAACACGACTCGAATACGAACTAGTGTGGATGGGGCCTTAGTATCGTGTCAACATTAGACTAGTGACTCTTTGTTCTTCCAGTAATTAAACTTTTTTGTTTTGTTTTTTTTGTCTTGCAGGTTGTCGGTCTTTTGGAGATGTGGACAGTCCGGAGGATGGTTTACCAGTAAGTCTCTGTCCTAGTTTACACCAATCTTAGCGTTCTGACACTATTTAGGATTATGTAATTAAAAAACAAACAAAAAAAAAACCATGTATTCTTCTTACTGTATGCCTGTCACGATAACACATTTTGAAGATGGATATATGGATTTCTTAAGAAAATATAGGCGATAAACTATAGTATTGACACTAATTTATGCTACTGACACAATAAACCTGAAGCCGTTTCTATGGAGATGTCATTGCTCTGCTTAGAATGTTCCACAGTGTGACATTAAACAGCTCTACTTTACGTTTATTCAATTACAGGTGGTTTTAGACCCTAAAAATCTGAGCTGTAACTTGGTCTGGTTTGGTCTTCGTGAAGATAGAAAGCTTTAATGCCACACTGTGAAACATTCCAGACAAAGCAATAACATGTCCTTGAAGAAAAGCAATTGACGGACACAAGAAAAGTTACAGAATGCACCTTTAATGTAGCAATATAAGGGAAAAAATTATAACATGAACTGCAGTAAATAAGTGAGTAGCAGATTTGAAACACTTGATCTAATGACTCAGAAGTGATTCAACAGTTCACAGTTCAGATCTCTTGGGAATGCACAAAAATTACAAACACTTCCCCAGTAGTCGAAAGAAGAAGTACTTTCGATAAATACTGACCCTCAAAAAGTATCGTTCTGTTTCTTATTTATGAACAATATGCAGAGGCGGGTAGTAGTCGGTTACATTTACTTGAGTAACTTTTAAAAGAAACTGTACTTTTCTAGCAGCATACTTTTACTCCTCCTTGAGGAATATTTTTATCAAAGTAACAGGAGCAGTAGAAAGTGACAAAAGTTTTATGGCGACAATATGAAATGATTTGAACGTTTGTGTTTCTTGTAGCTCCTTTAGATCTGATTTGGTTTGATTTTTGTGTTTACCCTTTGAAAATACCAAATTGTGTGGATTATTTAATATTTTATCCTTCAAATTACATGAACTTCAAATTATAAATCAGATGTTATGTCCTCTTAAATTATTCTTACTTGAGTAATTTCTTGAACCACGACTTCTACTTGAAGTAAAGTAAAGTAAAGTTACTCTTACTTGAGTACAGTTTTTGTCTCCTCTACCCACCTGTGGCGTTAAGTTGATATAGTAGTTATCATGACAGGCGTAGACATTGTATTTCTTTAAAGTTCACTGGGTTTAGTGCAGCACTACACACATGTTCCACATTTGACTTCCAAGTATTTGAAAGAAGGCTGTTCTCACAGTGACCTCAGTACAGTGATGCATTCCACTATGACAACCATGTGAAAAATTTGGCCCTGGGGCAAAATTCATTCAGGAATCCGCTGCTTAACTTCTCAATGTAGCTCGTGTTATTCAATGTCCACATGCGAGCACACTTGCAGGAGGATTTGGCAGTGTAACCAGAGGCCCGTTCATAAAGATTACATGGAAAAGCTTTAAAATAGTGGTCATCCTCAACAGATGCTTGTTTCAGTTGTCACGAGAAAAAGTATTTGACAGAATTTTCCCACAACTGCTCCTGTCCAAACTCAGTCTAGAAAAGTTTTTTAGATTTTCTTTTAATATTTGCCTCTGTATGAAAACTGTGTCAGCCTTTTGAGACATTCATAGTGTCTTTGCGATGGAAAGTTGATGAAGTGAGTGAATGTGAGCTAAAGGTGCTGGCTGTTGTGTGCTCAAGTTCCTCTTTAAGGAATGGCTGTGAACGTACAGGAAATCCAGTGCACCGCAGTTGCTAGGCAGCGGCTGTGGGGAGGGGGTGTTCTGGAGGATGGGGGGGTTCACGAGCTTCAGTGAGTAAGCCACTGACGGTGTCACCATGGTGATCTGGCATCCCAATGTTGCGGTCGGAGACCTGGGCTACACAGAAAGAGAAGTGAACCAAAGGCGAGCCGTAGCCTGCGAGCTAACAAATAACACCACACAATATGTTTAGTTTGTGTTCGCTTCTGACTCCATCCAGACGACATTCAAACATGAGAACATACTACATCTGTGGAGAATGTTCTAACAACAACATAGAACTGATATGAGAGATCAGATTCACTGTGTTTGTTGGGCATGAAAATAGAATCTTGAAAATTAAAATGTCTGTTTTGTTTTCTAGAAGATCTGCAAAATATTTTCATCTGTTGTGATTCTTCATGGTTTAGATGTGACATTTGTTTTGATGTGAGCCAGCCTCATGTATGTGTAGTGGGTGGAGCTCTGTGTATGTTAGATAACCTGTTGCAGGGATTTCAAACAGCTGTGTGAGGAGACATTTCTCCAGTTATGACCTGTACTGCTCTGGTTCTGCTCACGTACACTGCAGCAATTCCAACAAACTAGAAAGTTTGACATTATTTGAATGTTTAAGAGAAAAAGTAAATGGTTATTTAGAGAACCGTGAGTGACTGAGCTGCTTAGTGATCTGCCCTCACTGTTGACCCTTGTGTTAAACCTGCTCTGCTGCTGAACTGTGCCTCAGGTTGTAAATGGTTTTGATTATGGTTAGACTTGATTTCTGCTGGTTTAGTTTGAAGCTTCCTGGATTATTTTTGGGTGAAACCTACTGGGCACTGGTTTATGTGTGGAAACCAAAACCATGATGGCTTGTGTTTGTGTATGTGTAAATAAAAACATGGATTTGGAAACTACATGGTGATAAAAATCAAATTGTTATTCCTGTTATGACCTGATACTTTGGTGAAATTGCCATGTGATGCAGCTCAATGCTCAAACAAAGACACTTTTTCCCGTCCACTCCTCCTATTGGTCAATCCACTATGGCTACGTTCAGACTGCAGGGCTTAACGCTCAATTCACTGAGAAGAAGGACGAGGTTTTTGGCCGTGGCGTTTTGTGCAACAGTCCGTTGAAAGGAACGAGTTCATTAACAATTTTCGTACGACGAGAAGAACGTTTGTGTACATTTGTCGCTTGTTGATAACGTGTAGGTCGGATGAATGCACCTTGGCCGTTTAGTCTGAGGTCACATGTCAAAACGTTGGATATGTATCGGTTTTAGGAGCACATATCCAAGTGGCCTGGGTCGCATTTGAAAAAATCGGATCTGTCATTAAAAGATCAGGTACAGGTCACATAGGGGCCAAAAAATCGGATTTGGGTCACTTCAGGCTGCAGTGTGAACGTAGCCTAAGACTCTTGGGTGACCGACTGGTGGATTTAACCAACTGTAATGATTAGAACTTTCAGAAGGACCATAACTTCAAGCCATTGTAAAGATCGCTCACCCGTATCTGAAACCATACGTAGTAAATGTTAAGCCTGTAATTGACTAAAGAAGTTCTTGGCCAACTAAAGCCATGTTCTGCTGATTTATTAGTCGACTACAAGGGGGAAAAAGCTCTCAAAACGATGACATATCTCTGTGTTTCTCCTCCTTTTTGTTGTTGTCCCATATAAACTCTTATTGTTACTTTTGTTCTACATGCATCTCTATTAGCAGAGTGTTCAGCAGTTACCATGGCGCCACAACGAACACATTCGCAAACGCAGACAAAAATGACTGTCGGAAAACTCAAGAAAAAATGCAAAATGGATTTATGACGTTCACGGTCCTGTTTGGGTCTTTGATTTCGTAAAAAGGTAGCGAGCGTGTGACTGTAATTTTCTGTGTTTAACGGCACAAATCATCTCACTGTCGTAGTTCCAAAGAAGTCAGCTCTTTCTGGTCAGGTTGCGTTCGAGTAAAGATCAGATTAAAGGCCGCCACACTCTACAGGAGAATTTGTCCGATGTTGGCTGAGAGTTTAGGGAGGTGTGACCCGACTTTGGCGATTTTGAAGACGCTACGCTCCTCGTGAGTGGTAGTGGTGATTAGTGACTCTCCTTCCTGTGTGCTTAATCTTTTACGCTTTAAAAATCTTGTATCTGAAGTTTTGCACCACATTTCACAAATAATAACACAATTTGACTTGTATCTAAACTAGAAGTGCAGAGCGCTGATCTTTTGAACACTTAAGAGTCTCAAAGCGAGTCATTTTAACTTTATATCACAACTTTATATCCTGTGGTCTGCAAACAAATCCCGCCGCAGTTTTTTTGATCCGAGATTTTAAGTCTCATAAGATTCTCCTCATGTCTGTGGTGTGCGCTTTTTGTCGAACGTTTAAAATCGTCCAGTTTGACATAAATACGTTTGTGTCTCTGTCCAATCAGAACCCTTCCTGACTCCCAGACGTCGAGAGGAATTAAATAAAGGCGATTTAATGTGTTTTCCATGTAAACCTCAATTTGGGATTATTATTTCCATGTAAACTTAAAGGAGAATATTTAACTTCAGAACAATTAATTCAGAAGTTAAACACATCATGTAAATGTGGCTGGTGTTTCCTCTTCAAAAACAGACCTGGAGTTGTGTTTTGTTGCATTCACTCATGTTTAACACACAAATCCAGCACATTTAGGCTGAGTTCTTCTCACAATGCAATGTGTGTATCTGTACCCATGAACATTTGTGTGATATTGGTCACACATGAGAATGTCTGTGTTTACTAGCGTGTAACAAAAATGTAATTTTTCATGAGTTCCATATATGTTAGTTGTGTGACTGTAGATCAGTGTGTTGTGTATCACCAGAAAAAGAAAAAATGGAAATTATTTTTGTTCCAATTAGAATTTTAATGGCACACACTGAAAGAGAAACGAACTGTTATAATTAGTGATTATCTCGAAAACTATTAATATTTTACTATACAAATGCATAGAATTATAAATAGATTATCATTTTTCTGAGATTTTGAGACACTCCCGTTGCTGTAGCTTGATCCTTCAGAGTTATGACCAAAAACGCATATTTGACCTTGGTTACCTTGACCTTCAGGTGACCTTGACCGATATCAACCTGTAACATCCAGTGTACCCCGGTTATGTGTGTGCCAACTTGTGTGATGATTGGTTGAATATTTTAGGCCGCAGATGCTTCAGAAATTGCCGAAATTGTCTATCCTTTATAATGGCCATTCAGTTGACCCGTGT